CAGAGTATGACAGAGTATGACTGCCCTGTTACGTGACGTGATCACGTGACTAGTGCTTCACGTCGCGTTTAAGATGTTTGTTTGTTTGTTTTTTGTTTAACGCCACACTCAGCTATAATCCAGCTATATGACGGTCTGTTTATAATCGAGTCTGGATCAGACAATCCAATGATTGACATCATGAGCATATCAATGCAATTGGGATAAGATGACATGCAGCAACCGAGTCAGCGAACCTCGATCACTCGAGTCGCCTCTTACGACAAGCAAAGTCGCCTTTCACAGCAAGCATTGGTTGCTTCATATCTAGGCTAACCCGGATCTTCACGGGTCGCTAAAGATGATTTCACTTGTATTGCAACGTTCAAACACGCTTGAATGTGTCTGTTTGTACCAGTCGGGGCTTCACTAGTACCAGTTCGTTCTACGTCATTCAAATACTAGACTATTCTTTTGTATATCTGTTGCTTTCATGATGTATAGTTAAATATATACTTCCACAGATACACACAAGAAATGTCTGCAAGTAAACACAAAACTGTATCAATGAATGTGGTTTAACGTCGCGTTTTATTTATGCCATTCAAATATCCTTTCTTATATATCTTGCATTCATGATAGTCTTCTAACAGATGTCCATATCTACAGTCACGAGATGTCTGCAACACACATTCAGTATGTATCAGGGATTGAGGTTACTGGGGTTTAGTTCAAACGCGGGGTTTGACGTCGCGTTTAAGACCATTTCACGTATATAGCGACGTGCAAACACGTGTGTGTGTCCGCTTATACCAGTCCGTCCTTATGCTTAACTCACCAATGTGCCATATACATGACGACAGACTGTACACAATCGTGTCTGGTCCAGACAAACCAGTGATTGATATGATGGACAACGTCATACGCCTTCGGGGTATGATAACACGCACAACCCAGTCAGCGAGCCTGACAACCCGTTACCATACCTCATACGACGAGCAGGAGTTGTTGAGGACCAAGTCTAGCCTCCATGAGGTCGTATCGTCGTAACAGTGATTTACAATGAGCTATTGTAGCCAGGTAAACAACGCTATTGAGGCGCGCGGGGGTCCATAGGGGTGCCCTAGCAGGTCGACCAATAAATATATACAGCACGAACAATCAACCTAATTCTGTCGCATAAACAAGCAAATGTAAGGGTATGACTTACCCGTTATGTGACGTGATCACGTGACTGGTGCTTCACGTCGCGTTTAAGATGTTTGTTTGTTTTTTGTTTAACGCCACACTCAGCAATACTCCATCTATATGACGGCGGTCTGTTTATAATCGAGTCCAGTTATTGACATCATGAGCATCATCCATGCAATTGGGATAAGATGACATGCATCAACCGAGTCAGCGAGCCTCGGTCCCTCGATCCTGTTAGTCACCCTCTTACGACAAGCTGAGTCGCCTTTTACGGCAAGCATGGGTTGCTGAAGACCTACGCTAATCCGGATCTTCACGGGTCGTTTAAGATGATTTCACGTCTATTGCAACGTGCCAACACGCGTGAATGTGTCTGTTTGTACCAGTCGGGACTTGTGATGTCGTGGGCAGTTCGTTATACGTCATTCAAATACAAGGCTATTCTGTTGCTCTCATGATGTATAGTTAAATATGAAACCTATGATTGTGGGTTCGAATCCCGGTTCGCCCCGATTATGTTTCTAGGTTTGTCAGCACCATAACCGTGCTCGTGGGTTTCACCAAAGTGGTAAGCGTCTGAGACCTGCGTCGGCTTTCCTCTGTTATTAAGCTGACACGCCGCGATATAACTGGAATACTGTTAAAAGCGGCGTTAAACCCAACTCACTCACTCACTCACTCACTCACAAGTAATGTCTGCAAAAACACCAAAACTGTACCAGTGAATATCGCGTTTTCTTCATGCCATTCAAATATCCTTTTTATGTCTCTTACCTTCATGATAGTCTTCTAGCAGATGTCCATAGCTACATTCAAGAGACGTCTGCAACAAACATTAAGTATGTATCAGGGATTGAGGTTAATGGAGTTTGACGTCTCGTTCAAAACACGGGTGTGTGGCAGCTTATACTAGTCAGACTTATGCTGGTTTTATATACTTAAACTGAAACGAGGTGGTTGGTAGCGCAGTGAGATAAGCGTTAGCTAATCAGCTCATAGGCCCGGGTTTGAATCTCATTTGGGTGCAATGTGCGAATCCGCTTATCGATGACCACCGTCGTGGTATTGCTAGGATGTTGCTGACTGAGTGAGGCTGCTTTTACGCCGCTTTTGACACTATTCCAGCAACATCACATCTTCCCGAGGCATGAGAGTTAACTGACTATAAAAGTCCAGTTTCCACCCTTGCCGAACTAAGCTGGTATTCTGGAGTTACATTTTGGCTGGACTAACGAGTCTATGCATAGCCCAATCAAACTCGCGCACCGAAATCGAAATCCGGATCGTAAACTGTCGTGCAGATTTCGGTCGATTGCAGGATTTGCAAAGCATGTGCACCGCCAACTCGTTGTCAGCAGATATTTCCCAAATCTTTTCATATTTTTAATCAAGGTGCTCACGTGATTTGATGCATTTCGCGATGTAAGACCCGTTTTATAACAATATAGATCTTGATTATCGATCAGATCGTCCTGACTGGGCTCCACCATTTGTGTGAAGCAAATGCAAGCGATACGTGAGGTGGAATCTGATTGGTCTAAAGGAGAGGCTCAGAAGGGACATAACTAGTAACAGCCAGTGGTGGCGCTACGATCGAGCCCAGGAATTACAGCCTAGTTCGGCAAGGGTGGAAACTGGACTTTTAAAGTCAGTAAAACTCTCTTGCCCTGGGAAGATGGCAACATCACGGCGGCGGACACCAGAACTCGGCTTCACACATTATGACATAAACGCCTGTGGGGAACACACCAGGGTCAGACAGAAATCATAACATTTTATCTGTAACTCATTTTATGCCTTCGAGTATGTACTTATATAACACATAAACACCGGATATTTACAATCGCACACGTGGTGTCATGATTTTATTGAAGAGTACACACTTGTGACCTCAACAGTGGTCTATTTCTACCACGTTTATGTGAAAACTCTTACTTGTTTACAGAGCTGTTGATCTACCCCTCACTAGGTCAGATTGACATATGCAAGAAGCATTATGACGTTTAAGGATCAGTCGCATGTTTGATTGATCTAAGCTCAATTATTTTGTGTGTGTCATCATATAGCTTTGATACTGCGGTGTTAAACATCAAATACATTGTGTTTAAACTCTAGATAGATGTTTTATATATTATGGGTAGTTATGACAGGTATTTGTGTGGTTATTATTGAAAAAAGTCAAATAAATTAATGTTAGTTTAGTAATCAAAAAAGGATTTGTCACTGAAAACATTGATTGCTATGTTTTCCAAGAGTTCCTAGGACGTGTAAATGGAAGGATTCTCCTACAGGTTTTGACTTAACTTCACTCTGCTTTTCCCAACATCAACGTACGAAGGACATGTGATAGTCACGTGGACGAAAATACTAGTAATACCAATGAGGCGTCGTTCAATTGTTTGCCGAGGAACGACCGGAGAGGTGGGCGTCTTTGGTCATGGTATAGACACTTCTACTCGTGACGACTGATCCATCTGACTCTGCATCCTTCTCGCTCAATATATATTTCAGAAATAAAATAATAAAATATGTCCAATCATTATGTGTGGTGTATTAGATGGTTGTTATAACGTCAGATTATTCGATTTATTATATGATTGTTATAACGTTAAATTCCTCGGGTTATTAGATGATTTTTATAACGTTAGATTCCTCGGGTTATTAGAGGATTTGTATAACGTTAGATGACTCGGGTTAATAGATGACTGTTATAACGTTAGATGACTCTGGTTATTAGATGAGTGTTATAACGTTTGATGACCCTGATAAATAGATGATTGTTATAACGTTAGATGACTCGGGTTATTAGATGAGTGTTATAACGTTAGATGACTCGGGTTATTAGATGATTGCTATAACGTTAGATAACTCCGGTGAAGATCCGGGGTAGAATAGGTCTTTAGCAACCTAAGCCTACCATGAGAGGCGACTTTGCTTGTCGTAAGAGGCGATCGGGTGGTCAGACTCGCTGACTTGGTTGGTGCATGTCATCGTTATCTCAATTCACTACTTGATCGTTACTAGGCCATAATCCGTTGTCACTTTGCTGGCTGCAGGTTCACGACTTGATGGCGTCATCCCCTACCTATCCGATAAGAACAAAATTCTAATCGAGGGAATGTTCTTCATGAAGGTTAATATTTTATAACCTTGTTGGCCATGTTATTGAATTGTTATGACAATTTAAACTGATCTGATGTACAGATCCGGGTTAGAGTAGGTCTTCAGCAACCCATCGTTGTCGCAAGCTCACTGACTTGTCTGATGCATGTCATCGTATCTCAATTGCGTAGATTGATGATGCTCATGATGTCAATCACTTGGTTGTCTGATTACTGGAGTAATTCTGAGTGCGGCGTTAGACAACAAACAAACAGGCACTACTGCGGGGCCTTTAGAAATGTCTGTCAATGTGCAGTGTAAGATTTACAGCGCACTTCTACATCTCCGATTTGCCACACATATTTTTAATATAGAGACCATTCTCTCCCTCTTTCGATTACCTCTCCTTTTTGTCATTAAAAGTGATCTTTGATTAAGGATTACAGATTAAAAAAGGTCCGTCTTTTGGAAAACAAATGGCTGACCCACAAAAATACCAACAGTTAAGTTTTCGGGATAGACTCCTTACTTTCTAGTTCACTTTCAATGAACAAAATGGAAGTGAATAGTCGTTACTGCTTTTATGTATCGCTCATTTTCCTATTGAAAACCGATCCAAACAGTTTAATGCCGAAGAAATGTTCTACTTTAGAAACACGATGATAGGATTCATAGAATTCACAAACCATGCCTGACTATGTGTTGTCACCAGTTGTTCTCTGTTCCAGCACTGGTCAGCTGCCAGATCTGGACACAAGACATGCTGGACAATTTCGCCCAGACTCTGCAGGTCAGATGGAAGGTCAAGGACAATATAGAGTTTGACAACAGATACTTTGCGGAAGTGACCTTGAAAAATGCCGGGTCGTTCATTCTGAGTAAAACCGGGCAATGGAATATATACTTCGACTGCATCCAAATGATAGAACCTGATGTCCTACCCCGACCGGAAGGGGCTGTCCTAGATGGTCAAGGGGTCAAGGTTACCCATTTACAAGGTTCCCATTTTCGCCTTGAACCGACGGACACTTTCCTTGACCTACCGTCCAACACAAGCAGGAAAATCAAGTTTTATGTACAGTATTGGGAGGTTGCTAAAACAAGTATAATGCCGAACTGGTACTTCATGGCACCGGGTTTAGTACCCAAGGTAATACAAAGCACAGTAGGAGAAGAATTATCTTTCGTTGACGACTTCATTAAACCGCAGCAGGTGAAACGATACGCGACGGACAGATATGCTCCCTTCACACCACAGGAGAGATACAGACGGAACCACTTGACCGACTCCTCCGACAACGGAGAGGTCAGGATCATCCCCAAGCCCCTGAATATGACGGTGGTCAAGGAGGAGAGCTTGACCATCAACGCCGATACATGGAGGGTGTATGCTCTTGACAGCCTATCTAACGAGGCCAACTATTTCAAGCGTGAGTATTGTCCACACGACTTTAAAAAAACATTTGCTTGTCCATCCCGTCAACAGTAACTTTTAGTTGTACCCTTCATCCAGACCACAACACAAGATAAGCGTACTTGCGTAAAGAACGAACATAAAATCACAAATATCAAAGTTATGGAGTTGATTGTGTACAATTTAAGACAACCAAGAGTAATTACCCAATGCAGCCTTTTGTCAGCTGGCGGAAATGTGTTTCTTCATAGATCTTTACATACTCATTACATATTCGTTAACCCCACTACCGTAAATAATATCATGAATTGTCACCTGAAACAACATTCTAAGCAGAATTATTGTTAAAGATGGTTAGTATTGGTGTATAAGTACCCACAAGACTAGACCCAAGGGAGTGACACTATCATGTTCATGCACCGACAGACCCGTGGACTGGAATTTTGGGTGGAAACTGGACATTTTTTCAGCTACTTTGCAAAACCTTATTTTTGAAATTAAAACGATGACCTTGAATAGTGTTCTTTTAAACGCGTAAAGCATATTTATTCATTTCAAGCATTTTCTGCGACAAATGTTTTTTTCCCCGCCGCACAGAATATCAAATGGTCGGTCCCTTTAACTAGAAAGGTGTTTGCAGTTGACGTCAGGCATGCCCAATCTAGTACATATTTACATGCTGAGTGAGTTACTTTGAGCTCATCTTATCTGATTTCGGGGGGCACGGGTGGCCCAGTCGTCTAAGGCGCCGCGATTCGCTGTGCAGAGTTGCGTCCCTTGGGCACCCCAGAAACCTATGATTGTGGGTTCGAATCCCGGTTCGCCCCGATTATGTTTCTAGGTTTGTAAGCACCACACCCGTGCTCGTGGGTTCACCGAAGTGGTAAACGTTTTAGACCTGCATCACTTTGGGCTTTCCTCCCACATTAAGCTGACACGCCGCGATATAACTGTAATACTGTTAAAAGCGGCGTTAAACCCAACTCACTCACTCACTCGCTCTGATTGCTATTTCATCAAATAATCTGAAATTCAATGAAATGTGAACCTGGTTATGAAATTTGATCCGATCGAGATCCAACCGAATCTAACGCTAGTTGTATGTTACATCACAGCGTGTCAGCTGCTTGAGTGAGTGAGTGAGTTGGGTTTAATGCTGGTTGTATGTTACATCACAGCGTGTCAGCTGCTTGAGTGAGTGAGTGATCGAGTTGGGTTTAATGCTGGTTGTATGTTACATCACAGCGTGTCAGCTGCTTGAGTGAGTGAGTGAGTTGGGTTTAATGCTGGTTGTATGTTACATCACAGCGTGTCAGCTGCTTGAGTGAGTGAGTGATCGAGTTGGGTTTAATGCTGGTTGTATGTTACATCACAGCGTGTCAGCTGCTTGGGTGAGTGAGTGAGTGAGTTGGGTTTAACGCTAGTTGTATGTTACATCACAGCGTGTCAGCTGCTTGAGTGAGTGAGTGAGTTGGGTTTAACGCTGGTTGTATGTTACATCACAGCGTGTCAGCTGCTTGAGTGAGTGAGTGAGTTGGGTTTAACGCTGGTTGTATGTTACATCACAGCGTGTCAGCTGCTTGAGTGAGTGAGTGAGTTGGGTTTAATGCTGGTTGTATGTTACATCACAGCGTGTCAGCTGCTTGAGTGAGTGAGTGAGTTGGGTTTAATGCTGGTTGTATGTTACATCATAGCGTGTCAGCTGCTTGAGTGAGTGAGTGAGTTGGGTTTAATGCTGGTTGTATGTTACATCACAGCGTGTCAGCTGCTTGAGTGAGTGAGTGAGTTGGGTTTAATGCTGGTTGTATGTTACATCACTGCTTGTCAGCTGCTTGAGTGAGTGAGTGAGTTGGGTTTAATGCTGGTTGTATGTTACATCACAGCGTGTCAGCTGCTTGAGTGAGTGAGTGAGTTGGGTTTAATGCTGGTTGTATGTTACATCACTGCGTGTCAGCTGCTTGAGTGAGTGAGTGAGTGAGTTGGGTTTAACGCTGGTTGTATGTTACATCACAGCGTGTCAGCTGCTTGAGTGAGTGAGTGGGTTGGGTTTAATGCTGGTTGTATGTTACATCACAGCGTGTCAGCTGCTTGAGTGAGTGAGTGACTTGGGTTTAATGCTGGTTGTATGTTACATCACAGCGTGTCAGCTGCTTCAGTGAGTGAGTGAGTTGGGTTTAATGCTGGTTGTATGTTACATCACAGCGTGTCAGCTGCTTGAGTGATTGATTGAGTGAGTGAGTTGGGTTTAACGCTGGTTGTATGTTACATCACAGCGTGTCAGCTGCTTGAGTGAGTGAGTGATTTGGGTTTAATGCTGGTTGTATGTTATATCACAGCGTGTCAGCTGCTTGAGTGAGTGAGTGAGTTGGGTTTAACGCTATTGTACGTTACATCACAGCGTGTCAGCTGCTGGATGTGGCAGAAGCATGATCACGGCAAATCTGAAATTCGAACTCATTGATTCCTGGCGCCTAAGGAACGCAACTCTGAACATCAAATCGCGGCGGCTCAGAAGACTGGACCACCCGTGACTACTCATGCATTTAGAACTAAATTAGCTTCCCGACTGGCCTTGATGAGTTGCCACTTTCTGCACTTACAAGTGTCAGTTCATATGATATGCAAATCCTGAGAACATTATTCACTGACTAATGTATTTATTGTCATAAAGATGAAATCGCAAATGAAAGTTCCGCAAAACAAACCTTTTCAGAAATGTCCAATATTGAAATTGGTGGAGCAGACATAGGAAATGACGTCATACGCATGCGCATCGGCAACGTTGGTGTTCCCGAGGGAGGGATCGCGAACAGCCTCGACGCGTACAGACTGACAGTGGATGTCACCAACAGAGTGATTGAAATCACGGGACAAGGAGCCTCGGGGGTGATGTACGGAGCTCAGACCCTGCTCAGCCTTATGTCTCAGAGAGGGAACATGGTCTACAAGATGGACATCATCGACTCGCCGAGATACTCATACAGGTGAGACATCAAAAACGACTTGTCTCACTTTAATCCTTTAATTGTTCCTCCTATTACCAGTTAGTACGTCATCTCGACCAGCATTGAGGGGAAGCCATATTGGATTTGTTTGGCCGCACTTTAAGGCCGTCGTATTCCAGACATGTGTAATCATTGTCGAATGCCTGTAAATATTCGAGTCTGGACCAAATAATCCGGTCAAACTGAATTCACTTATCTCACTAGTACATTACCTCGTTCCAAGTTGTGTTTATTACCCCCGACTTACCCATTTTCGCCTTGGTCCTCAGGGATAGGTCCTCAGTACATCACGTTGGTCGTTAGAATGCCCCCCCCCCCCCCCCCCCCCGTTCGTGTGTACCCATTTGTCCAGATTCCAGACTCGATTATTAACAGGTCGCCGTCATGTAGCTGTATATTGCTGACACCGGTGTGAGTGCACCATGTCGATTTATGGTCGGGAAATGACAATATTTTGTCTTGATAGACAGGGGTCTCCATTTGGATGTTGAACGGAATGTTCCTAACGAGCATCGGGTAGTCCAGATCGGTGAATTGGTTCGGATCATGAAACACACAACACGGGTCGTCTAAAACTAGCACTATATCTCAGTCGCTGCGATAAGAAGTGAGTCGTGTGAGTTGAAAACACCCCTTTCGAACACATCGAAAATATTTGTCTTCGCTTAATTTTCGGAATAATTCCAGCACAAATTCGGCAGGAGAAGGCTGTGACTAAAGCATCACTACGCGTAGGGAACCCAGATGTTGATTTTGTAATACGTTTTCTGATTGGAACATCGATATGTGCGATTGTCGGCTTGAAATGGCAAGGGGAAAACTTGACATTGACACAGGATAATGGACGCTTGCTTCGGGAACATGGCACTGATGGTGTGTTAACCCGCTTGTCCAGACTCTATGACAAACATGATATGATATATGTTACCCCATCGGCTCAATTGTGTGAGTGCACATGTCGATTTGTGGTCGATGAATTACAATGTTTGATTATTCATATACAGGGGTCTCCATTTGGATGTTGGACGGAACTTCCATTCGAAAGAGGAAGTGTTAAGACTGCTGGGTAACATGGCGATGTACAAGCTAAACAAGCTCCACCTTCACCTGTCTGAAGACGAGGGCTGGAGACTGGAGATCCAAGGGTTGGAGGAACTTACTCAGGTTAGGAGGGACCGATCAGTTTATAGTGATATTCGCTGCAGTTTTTTTAAGTTGTTTGTTGAAAATACTGCAAAGAATTTAAGTTGTTCGCTGGACAAATTAGGCGATTTGTGGAAAAAGAAAAATAATCGCCTCCTTTCAGAGAAAAGTTATGTGCCTTCCAAAACAAATTATTTTCTCTAATCCCCCAAAAATAATATTATTGGTCTTTCCGTACGTCATCAGCAACGTCACATCTTTTTATTTAAGGATTGACTGTGGATTTCATACATTTTGCACATCGTCTTTTCGATTCATACCTCAATGAACCGAACAAACATCCACAGTCAAGCCTTATAATTAAATTTGACAACAAAAACATGTGTTATATTCAATAGTTTAACCAAGAACAGCTTTATATATCCAATCAGACAGCAATGACGAGATTGATAAACAATAGATAAACATAACTAGACACGCCCACAAAGCCACTAACCATTCGACGGAGTTGGAGTATACATGAAGCAATCTCCGTTATTGATGGGTACTACCCGGAAATCCATCTTTTTTCTTAAACCGGAGCATGTTGGTTGATCACAATATCATTTAAGTTGAAAATGGATACAGAGTGATCCGTCACAAATAAAATGAAGAATAAAAATTGTATTTGCAGATAGGTTCAAAGAGATGCTTCGATCTCACAGAAATGACGTGCCTGTATCCACAAATTGGTTCCGGTCCAACAGCGTCCACTTCCGGTTCCGGGTTTTACACAACAACCGACTACAGGGAAATTCTACAGGAAGCGAACAGATTGCACATTCAGGTCATACCGGAATTTGACATGCCGGGGCATTCGCGCGCCGCCGTAAAGTCAATGGAGGCAAGGTTCAAGATTCTTCAAGGCCAAGGCCGGGAGGAGGAAGGCCGGAAGTACCTCTTGGTTGAAGAAGGGGACAATTCAAGTTACATCACGGCACAAATGTTCACAGACAACTCCATTAATCCCTGCTTGGAATCGACCTACACGTAAGTATGGCAACTGTGTTGTTTCTATCACATCTATGACTAGTTCTTTTTAAAAATATCAAACAATTCTAATCAATTTATATATTAAGTAAATATTCGCTTAATGTACCTCCATACCAATATTATTTTGTGTCTGTCCCGCAAGGATGAGTTTAACACTCGTATTTGTTATATCAAGTTTTATCACGGAATGAGGTTAATGGGGTATAACGTAGGGTTTGAGATTATTTCACGTATAAAGGCACGTGCATGCGCCAGTGTGTGGCTGCTTGTACCAATCCGGACGTACGCGGGATTAATAGTGCACGTGCCACCCCACAGAGATACCATGTCGAAGTTTAACATTCATAATCCACGCACACAGATTATACTGACGTCAAGTTTTAACGGCTTTTGGTATGGCGGGGCCAGGGGGATAATTGAACCCCCCTCCCCAAACAGATCTCTATCCACTACATCACGAGGCCGTCGTTTCAGTGAATGAATGATGGCATTTCATCACGCAGTATCAGTATCAGAAATCATTGTAACAATTTTTAAATCTGGATACCTGATTTGTCACCGTTGATAATATATGAGACACAAGATTGCCATACAGTTATAAGGCAAAAGGGACTGTTTATTTGTAATAATTGCCAGTGGCAGCAAATGTTTGAAACGCAATGAAACTAGGAGTATTGTGGGCTGCAGTGGATGATCAGTGCTATCAGCCCCTGGTTGTTCTTTGCGAACACAACAGGGTTGAGCGTGCGAGACTCTTCGAGAGAGGACTGTTTCTAGAAGGTTGGCTGTACCGATATAAGCACAACAATAGGGTGTTTGGGGGCCTTTATCAACCCGACCTGTGTCTCATCTACTTGCGCGGTGTGGATTAGATTACGAGCGGACAGCACAGAATTCTTCCAACACTCTTTTAGATTCAAGAACGGAGGCCTGTTTCAAGTCCTCCGACAGTGACAGCAATTATTTGCCAACTAATAATAGGGTGTGTTACATGTATTGCTGTTCCCTCTTATTTGACTAATTGTGTTGCGGTCCTTATTGAAGCTGTGGGGTCATTTCCTGATTTCACAATTAAGTTCGTCGATTTCCTGGTTCATCGTTGCGTGTCAATTAGATGATCATTTCGTAGCAATACCACCCTTATGAGATCTCTTTATTGAGCATTTTCTTAAACCCTTCGGGTCTGGTGTTTGTTATATGATTTACATTTTAGGGTAACACCTCAAATTTACATTGAAATTACGGTCGATCCATAATCAAAGTGATGTACCTTATTTATTTGAGTCAACTGTCTGTTCTAGGTTCATCGACCACGTGATAGGAGCGGTCGTGACGTTACATCAAGACATTCAACCACTGACAGTCTACCACTACGGAGGGGATGAGGTTGGGAACGGGGCATGGGTCAATTCCACAGCCTGCAAGACCCTGTTTGGCTCTAACACCGTGTCTACTGGACAGGTCAAGGAGTACTTCTTCACACGATTGGCAAATCTGACAGTCACGAGAAATCTAAATATGGCAGCTTGGGAGGACGGCCTCGTGAGGCAGCAAAATGAAGTATTTGACAGAAGCCTGGCGGGGAACGAAGAAGTGTACAGCTACGCCTGGGACAACATTTGGGAGTGGGGAACAGGAGGAAGGGCGTACGACATGGCCAACAAGGGTTATAAGGTATAGGATTCTCGACTGTGATTCTGATCATATAGGATTGGGAGCAGATGCCGACCAGACCGTGATCCTGTCGCGAACATGTCACGAGTAAAGTACATGATGATTCTGACCAAGTCGCGATCCAGTCGCGAAACTGTCTCGACCAAATCGATTTGTTTGTTTGTTGTTTAACCCCGCACTCAGCAATATTTCAGCTATATGACGGTGGTCTGTAAATAGTCAAGTCTGGATCAGACAGTCCAGTGATTGACATCATGAGCATCTATTTACGCAATTGGGATACGATGACAATAATGCATCACCCAAGTCTGTTACGACAAGGATGGGTAGTTGAATACCTATTCTAACCCGGATCTTTACGGGCACAGCAGATCATTTTCAACTGTCCTAACAATTCAATACCATGGCCTACAACGGTTATAACGTATTAACCTTTATAAAAAGCATTCCCTCGATTAGTATTGTGTTAGGGATTTGATAACGATCCGATCGCAATCAAGTCGAGAACCTGCAGGCACCAAAGTGAGATCAGATCATGGCCAAGTAACGATCAAGTAGTGAACCGAACGCAATTCATATTCAATCGCTTCTTTGATATGTCATTGTGACTGCGATAATAAATTGTAACATTTTCCTGTTGAGTATGTTTCGATCGATTCATAACAATTCGATCGAGTAGACCCTAGGGTTAAAGTGCAGTATTAACTGTAATAAATAAAACATTATCTACAGGGATGGGGTTCTGTAATAATTATGGTGATCTGCGGTTGTGTGATATCCCTTGCTGATTGATGTTATCTACAGGTCATAATGGCTCACGCCTCCCACCTCTTCTTGGACCACCCCGACGAGCCCGACCCAGAAGAAAGAGGCTATTACTGGGCAACTAGATTTACCGATGCAAAGAAAACGTTCAGCTTTACACCCGAAAATCTCTACTCTCTGATCGAGGTGAGACGGTCAGGGGCTGCACTCCCGAGGGAGGAAGCGTGTGGAGTGAATGATGAGAGTTGTCCTCCCTTGCAGAGACCAGAAAATATTGCCGGTAAGAACTAAATATCATCATGTTATATTAATAGTGATCTTGTACTTTGAAAGTTCATATATAAATAGTCAGGATCCAACGATTCTCAAACCCTTATGTACTATTGGCAACTGCATGATATTAAAGATAAGATTATGGCTTGCTCTATTTGGTATCATAGATCGGTGTCACCGCCTCCGTGGCCTGGTGGTAGAGCGTCCGCCCGGAGAGCGGAAGGACCGGGGTTCGATTCCCGGCCGCGTCATACCAAAATACGTTAAAAGATGGTACTTGTTGTTACCCTGTCTGGCGCTCGACATGAAGGGGCTAAAACAAGGACTGGTCGGCTCGGAGTCAGTTTACTGTGTCTGAGTGGGGTATTCATGTTCAACTGCGGCATGGTATCTCAGTGAGCTAGCACTATAAATCGGCATCAGTCCGGACTAGTACAAGCAGCTACACAAACGTACATGCACGTCGCTATATAAGTGCAATAATCTTGGACGCGACGTTAAACCCCATTTCACCTCACCTCACCTATATATTGGTGCACGCAGATGCCGATGGGGTTATTTTCCTTTTCAAATTTCTGTAAACCAGACACTGGCCACACCAAAGGCCATAGCCCTGCTCCCCACAAGGGTTCAATGAGTGGACCCAACTTCTTTGATGCTTCTTGAATATTGCTTAAACGGCTTAAAACCATACTCAAAACGCTGGAAGAATAATTTTGCCTCAACTCTTGCCCCATCAAAATAATTGTTTGACATACTTGATGTCCTGAACGAAATTGTTGTGAGAAAATAATTGTTCGTCTCATCCATTCAGAGAATGAAAATGTATATATTGAAGACGTGCCCGAAAAGAATAGGTCTCTAATAAACAGCTAAAACTGACATCATGGAAAGTAGGCCTAGCCGTGACCAGATTCGTGGTTAATATGCGACATAAAACAGGAACTAACCATATGTTCAAATGGACATGAAGTCGCAATTAATATCTTCGTACTTGTGTGCGCTTGTAGGTGTAGCAGGGCGCGTAGTCATCCCACAGATGACATCCTTACCTTGTCAGATTGCTGACGGGGTTAACCTCTTTGGTCATATGGACAAGGCGTCCGACCTCGGATCAGAAGGTCCGTGGTTCGAATCCCATCACGAGACTCGGAAATTTTATGGCCGCTACATTGGCGCCCAACATGGGTCTGAGCTCGTTCATATTAAATTTGAGCAAAATAAGCCTCAGTACCCTACAATGCGACCCGGGACGTGCCTTCTGTTGACGGGGTTAACCTCTTTGGTCATGTGCACAAGGCGTCCGACCTCAGATCAGAAGGTCCATGGTTCGAATCCCATCACAGGACTCGGAAATTTTATGGCCGCTACATTGGCGCCCAGCGTGGGGCTGAGCTCGTTCATATTAAATTTGAGCAAAATAAGCCTCAGTACCTTACAATGCGACCCGGGACGTGCCTTCTGTTGACGGGGTTAACCTCTTTGGTCATGTGCACAAGGCGTCCGACCTCAGATCAGAAGGTCCATGGTTCGAATCCCATCACAGGACTCGGAAATTTTATGGCCGCTACATAGGCAAACCATACTTTTATGCTTCATGTTATCGTGTATTACCGAGTTTCTTCTTTTATCCCCAAATCAAAACTTTTGATTCTAGGACTCCAAGCTTGTTCATGGACCGAAACGTCCAGGACGCAAGACCAGGTGGACTTACGCCTTTTCCCTCGACTGCTCTCATTGGCTGAGCGAGCGTGGCACAAAGCACAATGGGAAGACGAGAGTGAGAGCGAGGCTGGCAAGACCGCCATGAGAGAGGACTGGGAGTCCTTCGCTAAACTGATTGGTCGTTATGAACTTCGGCGTCTAGAAACCAACGGTGTTCAATACAGAATTCCCCCACCAGGAGCTGTGTAAGTATTACACTATCGTGTACTTGTCTTGCCATTCCTTTCCCACTGGAAGCCCGTTGGGAATCCAGAGCAAGCACCGTGCCGACTACTGTTCCCTGGCATCCCCAAGAAGGATATCAAAAATGTTTTCAGGTTTCTTTTCAATGTGTGACCTTTGTCGTGTTTTGTCTTGTTAAGACTCAGGATTTACTTGTCGCGGAGATACGTAAGTAATATTTTTTAACACAACGGAAACTCACGCTATTACAAGAGGATTCATATGCTTTGACTTTCGGACGCTACGAACTCAAACATCGCTGAATACTACCGGCTAAAACAATAAGGCCAAATATGAATGTTGCAAACGATTTGTTATATGAGATGCTTTTTCGCTATATTTACTACATGTACTTCTTTATATCAGGAGTTGTATTCGGGCTAGTCATGGTAAGCGAAATGCCTACAGCATATCTACATTCGAAGAAAAACAATCTTTACAACTTTGGAAAGAGCATGGAATGACCAAATATGACCGTCTTTTCATTCGTTGACATTCGATTGATTTGAATTATATTGTATTGATTCATCGCCTGTACATGATACACACATGATGTGTTGGTTGTGTTGTTTAACACCGCACTCAGCAATATTCCAGCTATATGACAGCGGTCTGTAAATAATCGAGTCATGACCAGACAATACAGTGATTAATATCATGAGCATCGAGCCACGCACTTGGGATCGATGACATAAATCAACCAAGTCAGCGAGCCTGACCACCCGATCCCGTTAGTCGCCTTTTACGACAAGCATAGTCACCCTTTACGGTAAGCATTGGTTGCTGAAAACCTATTCTACCCCGGGTCACATGATCGAATCTGAACAAGACGAACCAGTGATTAATATCATGAACATCGTCACACGTCATCGAGCCTGACAACCCGATCCATTAGCTGTTTTTATAACGAGCTTAGTTGCAGGGGACCGATTTCAACTCGGAATGTATTTTATTGCGTGCACTGGGATATTCGATGGTTGTGTAGTCTGTGATCAGTATTCTATACCAGTGTCAACCACAATTTGGTATAATGTGAACATTGTAAGTCAGGGTTTGTACAGGTAGTAATAGTCGCAAAACATGTTTAATATCCAGTGCAACAACTCACAATGACACAATGCACACCATGTATGTATCCGACTGTATTTACAGGGAAGAAAACGGGTTTCTGAAGCTGACCACGACATACCCCGGGCTAACTGTCCAGTACAGCAAGGACGGCGGCAACACGTGGTTTGTCGCCAACAGCAACGTCCTGGTTAAACCTTGGGACACTCTACATCTCCGGACCAGGTGAATAGAGCTGGACAATGGACGATCTCGAGTAGGGTGGTGTCACACAATAGCATACAATACTATCCTTTAATAGCTTGATTGCAGACCCTTTCCTGTTTGGCAGTGCTGCATCCGCAGAAAATGGGATACTTAACTGTACCGAATGGTGTGACTGAGCAATCAGTGCCATAAACTCGACAAATTTCGATAAAGTAACTTTAGACGTCATTTTACTAATTTGGTAACTGACGTCTGAGGGATCGACCATTTGATATTCTTGAGGTTTGGGATGTGTTTTTAAACAAATAATATGTCCAGAAAATGTACTTGTTAATTTGCACACAACAAAAGACAAGCTGGATCCCCTGGACAAAAGGCCGTGGTTTAGTTTTGTCACATCAGTCAAAGCCATTGTATGAGGGGCAGAAAATTATCAACGGTCGATCCATAATCTGTGTTAATCCCAACAGTGAAAGTCCTTCTATGACCACTGGATATCTCTGCTTCAGATCCAGCAACATGCAGAGGTTCAGCCGGGTTGTAACACTACATGGAAGTTAGTGTCTTCTTTTCTCTGTTATCTTCTCTAAACTAACCCTGTACTTGTCCTTATGGCAACATATAACAGTATATGTAGTTGTAGGTGGTGTAAGTTAAAGGTTTTGTCAACCAAATTGCAGTTTGTGATTACCCTCTTCAGTTTCTAGAACGCCATTTAAAAAGGGAAATACCTTGATACCCTTGATACCCTGATGTAAGTTTTAATCATATTTATTGGTATTTTTTGGTAGATTTCAGAAGAAACACTACATTGAAAAATGCAGCTAATTGTCGGAATAATAATCACTATGATTTCGCAATAAAAAATCACTACCTGTTGAACTAATTTCTCAAGAAATGAGAGGGTTATCTCTCCATGGTTGTACACGTGTGAAGTATACTTCACCAAAGGAAAATAACCTTTTCAAAGCACGGAAAAACCTGGAATGTTTTCTAAAAAAATACTGGCCATGTGAGGGTATTTTCTAAATTTTGATATCCTTGGTTGACAAGACAGCTCCATGAAAATTGTGTCTGAATTTAACCAGCGCCGACACAACATATCTCTATTTTAGCCCTGAAAATATTTATGACACATTGATATGTAATCTCAAAGTCATGCTTAAGGTCATATCCCAAAACTTATTGCCATTCGCCCTAAAATGCCATTTTCTGCAGGTATCATTTAAGTTTGACATGTAGTTGAGATATATTAAGGTCATCCTGAAGGCCATAGTTCGAAAAACATCATTTAAGGCAGACTCCTGGGCAGTGATGACTTCGCATATACGTATCACGTTACCGGACGTTTCGCTTGTTTGTACACAAACCCGCTCATTCTGAAATCAAAACAGACTGGCATAATGCAAGCCTTACGGTGCGCGTTACATATTGGTTTCCTCAATCATATAGATGAGCTGCTACAACTGCGACAGTGAGGTGCATGACAATACATCTTCATACATCAAAGTGACCGTATCACTAGCTCTCAGAAGGGATTCATTGACAGCATGTGGATCCGTACCTGGATGTCGTTGTGGATAAATTTAATCCACATGTAGGACAAGTAACGGCAGGTCACATTCATTACAATGATCTACTTTTACTGAGTAGCAAATAACACATTATCGTTATTACATGTCATGTGAAGGTCATCAACTCGGAAGTGCATTTACCTTTCTGTTTATGGTAGCTAGAGGCACGGGGCTTTCTGCTTTACACCTGTCTTGCATTGGATATGTCTTTTCCCAAACCAGAAATAATATCATTTAATTGGATGGTAACCCCGAATACCTTTCAAATAAGTTTAGCTACAGATATGACATTGACCATACGTTCACCAAAACTGGAAGTGATACCATTGAATGGGAAGGGCTTATTGTAGGGTCGCTAGTTACACATGACTAAGTGGAACTGCATTTCACAGCAATTGGGATCAATATAGATTGAAGTTGGTGTCCTCACCTGTCACATAACGTGTAAAGCCATGTTTCTGCATTATAATGCAAACGCCTTTCCAGTTGCTGAATGCTTTCAATTGCATTCAGACTTAATTGTACCATATTAGCAGTGTGGGCCTCTATGTTGGATGTTTCATTATCACCAAAGTTTGGGAGTATACATATTAAAAGTAACTCATTGGTTGGAGACGCTAAAAAAATTAAATGACATTTTTTTTACAAATGTTATCTGAGTCATGCAACTACTGTAACAGACATTGCCATGTAAGAATTGCAATGTTTCTTCAACCTCCAGCCGAACCTTTGCCGCTGGTAGACCAGTCCGTCCTTGACTACATGGCAGAAAACATCGTCCTCACTTACTCGGTCTTGGATAATTTCCAAGATGGCGCTAGCACGTTTCTTGCCCAAGTCACTCTGAAGAACACGGGTCCACAAGATGTTGTCAAAGGCAACTGGGGCATCTATTACTGCAGCATCTATATGGTACCTGATGAGCAGCCAGAACTGACACTCGAGCAGATGACCATCAAACACATTAAAGGATGCTTGTTCAAGATGGAGCCAACATCTGAGTTTAAACCATTGAAGTCGAACGAGGTGCGGACACTCAAGTTCCGGGTTCAGAACTGGTCTGTGTCAAAGACGGATATGATGCCTAACTGGTATATGTGGGCGGAGGGATTGAAGGCTCGCACTATCGCCAGTACCAAGGGACCTGGGTTAGAGTTCGTGAAGGACTTTACAACAGTCAACCAATGGAAGCGGTATGACACTCCTGATCTGAAAGACAGGTAAAGGAATTACATTTTTGTATTAGGAGATACTTTTATTCTGGTTTTAATTTTAGAGTTTGTAGTCGGTAATTGTCATAATGAGTTTTGACATGCTTCACAAGAGAATCATCAGACAAATAAACGTGTGGAAATGGGCACAATATATTTCTACGTTAATCAAACCACGCCCTCCCACTATAATTGGTAAATATAAGCGATTGAGGGAAGAGCGAGTGTGGTGGGATCTGTTTTCTGAGAAGGTTCTTCGTGTGAGGGTGTCAACACCCTGAATTTCTTGTTTCGTCCAGTCAACAACACCAAACGAATACGAAAGGACGGGTACAGCATAAGTATTATTATGATGTTCGTGATGCTGAGTACGAATATGACGTGATCCATTCATATAACTTTGAACACTATTTTGCTTTAACGACCAATTGAATTTGTTTCGGCAGATCAAGACTAATTGTTCTCTGGGGCTGATGTTTCATATTAACCTGAATTGAAGGTCCCATGAAATGATGATTTTGGAATGGAATGGAAAGCACGATAATCATACTGACCATGTTCAATGGACCATAACTGTTTGCTCCAGGCATCTAATGTACTCTTGAGCAATAGTATTCATAGCTCTGCAACTCCTCCAAGCAGAATACAGCTTTGTTCCCTAAAGCACCAAATCACAAATGTGCCAAATGAAATGAGAGCCTGAGACCTTCCCTTTTTAACAGGAACAAAAGGAATTGAAGGATTTTAATTTTGTTCTATTTTTATTTCGTAAATTAACAAAAAGTTTTGAAAGAAAAAAAACACATCCCTCCTGATTAAAATACCGTTAAGTGTGTGTTTCATTGTTATGTGGTATTGTTAATATTATTCTAGTGAGTGTGTCCAATGTCTCAGGTACGACCCGTACACCCCTGATGTAAGATATGGAATGGCCCAGGACATAACTGACCTGGGATCATCCCCACATCCAGTAATTCCTACTCCAGTTACCATGGTAATTGATGATAACCTTGAGATGATGATGTCAGCGATTATAACCATTACTACTGATCCATTGTTCGAAGCTGACGCCGACTACCTCAAAGGTCAGTTGAGGTCGGGATGTAGAGAGTGGCACGTGATGTACAGCTTTGTAAACTCAGTTGTCATCACTTCATCAAGAGTTTCAAGTACATAGATAGATGTGGTTACCAGGTAATTGATACACATTCATGCCAAGGCGTGTTTGCATGGATTATAATTTTGAGAATTTATATTTTTTTCCAACTGATGAATGAGAGGGAATTGGGGAAGAGAAATAATCGTTTGATTTCATTTGACTCATCAAAACAAAGCATCATTATGTTTCTTTATTACTTGACCATAACGATGACTTTTGTAGACAGCTTAGCATAAAACTAGGATACAATTATTCTTTATTTCAATCTCCAAACCCAGCGTTTTGGATTAATATGTAAGATTATTTTTACTGACTGCATTAGTGAGTGTAATGCAATGCAATATTTACATCCAGAGGAGCTCTCCAAGGGAGGCTACTCTGCCATCAACGTCAGCACATCAGCGCCACCACCTCGTGGCTACATCCAGCTTCTCCAGAGAGACCCGCAAGTCACCATAAACAGTAAAATAGCCTCATCCCCAGAAGCATACTCTCTGACCGTTGACCCTGTCAATGAGGTCATCCGAATTTGGTCCAACACATCTGACGGCATCTTCTATGGTATACAGACCCTGCTCAGCCTCGCTCTCAAGTCCAGCTCTGACGGCAAGTTGTACAAGAGTACCATAGAGGATGCACCCCGGTTTGCATACAGGGGGATGCATTTGGACGTGGGCAGGAACTTCCATGGGAAGGAGTCGGTGATGAAACTGCTGGACGCCATGGCCATGTACAAACTAAACAAGTTCCACTTCCACCTGACGGAGGACGAGGGCTGGAGGGTGGAGATTCCAGGTCTGAAGGAGCTCACTGAGGTGAGTAAGTGAGTGGTAGATTGACCGAGTCATTAAGGGATGGCTACATGGTAGAGATTCTAGGCATGGAGGAGCTTACTCAGGTGAGTAAGTGAGTGGTAGAGTGATAGTCATTAAGGGATGGCTACATGGTAGAGATTCTAGACATGGAGGAGCTCACTCAGGTGAGTGAGTGATAGATTGACCGAGTCATTAAGTGATGGCTACATGGTTGTGATTCTAGACATGGAGGAGCTCACTCAGGTGAGTAAGTGAGTGGTAGATTGACCGAGTCATTAAGTGATGGCTACATGGTTGTGATTCTAGACATGGAGGAGCTCACTCAGGTGAGTAAGTGAGTGGTAGATTGACCGAGTCATTAAGTGATGGCTACATGGTTGTGATTCTAGACATGGAGGAGCTCACTCAGGTGAGTAAGTGAGTGGTAGATTGACCGAGTCATTAAGTGATGGCTACATGGTTGTGATTCTAGACATGGAGGAGCTCACTCAGGTGAGTAAGTGAGTGGTAGATTGACCGAGTCATTAAGTGATGGCTACATGGTTGTGATTCTAGACATGGAGGAGCTCACTCAGGTGAGTAAGTGAGTGGTAGAGTGACCGAGTCATTAAGTGATGGCTACATGGTTGTGATTCTAGACATGGAGGAGCTCACTCAGGTGAGTAAGTGAGTGGTAGATTGACCGAGTCATTAAGTGATGGCTACATGGTTGTGATTCTAGACATGGAGGAGCTCACTCAGGTGAGTAAGTGAGTGGTAGATTGACCGAGTCATTAAGTGATGGCTACATGGTTGTGATTCTAGACATGGAGGAGCTCACTCAGGTGAGTAAGTGAGTGGTAGATTGACCGAGTCATTAAGTGATGGCTACATGGTTGTGATTCTAGACATGGAGGAGCTCACTCAGGTGAGTAAGTGAGTGGTAGATTGACCGAGTCATTAAGTGATGGCTACATGGTTGTGATTCTAGACATGGAGGAGCTCACTCAGGTGAGTAAGTGAGTGGTAGATTGACCGAGTCATTAAGTGATGGCTACATGGTTGTGATTCTAGACATGGAGGAGCTCACTCAGGTGAGTAAGTGAGTGGTAGATTGACCGAGTCATTAAGTGATGGCTACATGGTTGTGATTCTAGACATGGAGGAGCTCACTCAGGTGAGTAAGTGAGTGGTAGAGTGACCGAGTCATTAAGTGATGGCTACATGGTTGTGATTCTAGACATGGAGGAGCTCACTCAGGTGAGTAAGTGAGTGGTAGAGTGATAGAGTCATTAAGTGATGGCTACATGGTTGTGATTCTAGACATGGAGGAGCTCACTCAGGTGAGTAAGTGAGTGGTAGAGTGACCGAGTCATTAAGTGATGGCTAAATGGTTGTGATTCTAGACATGGAGGAGCTCACTCAGGTGAGTGAGTGAGTGGTAGAGTGATAAAGTCATTAAGCAATGGCTACATGGTTGTGATTCGAGGCTTGGAGGACCTCACCCAGGTTAGTGAGTGATGTAGCCATCAATCCATTGAATGATGGCTAGAAAGTAGAAATTCTAGGTCTGGAGGAGCTCACTCAAGTGACTAAGTGACTCAAGTGACAGAGTGATCGATTTATTGAGTGATCGCTGGAAGGTGGAGAGCCGAGGCCTTGAGGAACTCAATCAGGTGAGTGAATGTTAGCGTGATCGAGTCATTGATTGATGACTGGATTGACTGGATTGTGGAAGTTCTTGGCCTGGATGGCTTCATTCCAATAAGTGATGAAGTCATTGAGTGAGAACTTGAGGTTCGAGATTCCAGGTGTAGTGATTGCTTTCAATCACCACGTCAGTCAATGAGTCCATGAGGTTGTCAGTGGATCAGTCAGTAAGTGAACCAAGCGAGTCAGGCAATCACCAAGTCAGTCTGTAAGTCAGTTCATGGGGTTGTCAGTGGATCAGTCAGTAAGTGAACCAAGCGAGTCAGGCAATCACCAAGTCAGTCTGTAAGTCAGTTCATGGGGATGTCAGTGGATCATCAGTGTGTTAACCAATCAGCAAGTCAGTCAGTGTTTCAGCCAGCCATTCAGTTAGTTGGTTGGTTTGTTGTTTAACGCCCCACTCAGCAATATTCCAGCAATATGACGGCGGTCTGGACCAGACAATCCAGTAATTAATATCATAAGCATCAATCCACGCATTGGGGATCGATGACATGCATCAACCAAGTCAGCGAGCCTGACCATCCGATCCCGTTAGTCGCCTTTTACGACAAGCATAGTCACCTTTTACGGCAAGCATGTTCTGCTGAAGACCTATTCTACCCCGGAACAGTCATTCAGTGACTTGTGAAGTCAGTCATTTAGAGATTTAGCCAGTGAGTCAAATATGTCACAGATGATACTGATAGGTGCCGTTTTAAGCTGTTTTTACAGTTCTAATAGTTTTCGAGTTGCAATTCATATCCCAGATACTATATCTAATCCAGACTTGGCCACTAGTTAAGTGCTGCCGTGTCATGTCATCATCCTGTCATGTTTCTATTTATGTTGCTCTCAGATTGGAGGTAAGAGATGCCATGACATCGAAGAAGAGAAATGCGTCCTTTCCCAACTTGGATCAGGTCCCGACACTACTACTTCCGGGTCAGGATTTTACACGATCGACGACTACAAAGACATTCTGCAATACGCTAGTGCCCGTCATATTGAAGTCATACCGGAAGTAGACTCGCCCGGACATGCGCATGCAGCTATATTCGCCATGCACGCCAGACGACAGCGGCTCCTTGACATCGGAGACATTGACAACGCCGACTCGTTTGGACTTGTCGACCTTGAAGACCCATCGGATTATCTCTCAATTCAAATGTTCAAGGACAACGCCATCAACCCGTGTATAAATTCAACTTACAGTTTTATCAAATACATAGTTGACATGTTTATTGACATGCACAAAGACATCAGTCCTCTGAAGACTTTCCATTTTGGAGGTGATGAAGTTGCTAGTGGCGCGTGGAAGAACTCGCCAGCTTGTCAGGCGCTGTTGAGAGCCAATGTCAGTCTGAAGGAACATTTCACGAGGAATGTTGCCAACATCACGAGTCTCCACAACTTGAATCTCGGAGGATGGGAGGATGGTCTCATGGAGTCCGTGTTCGAACCCTTCAATAAAGAACTCCTGGGAAGTCAGGACGTGTTGGCGTATGCGTGGGACAACGTATGGGAGTGGGGTGTGTCAACTCGGGCGTACAGACTGGCCAACGCAGGATTTAAGGTTAGTCGGTGAGGATGAGAAGTTATATAGATAATATGTCAATGTGAAACACATATATGTATCCAGATATCTTCAATACAGGTCAAGGAAAATATGTCAGATTATTATCAAAACAGGTGTGTGCGTCTGTGTGTAGGTGCGTGTTTAGGCGTGTGTGTGTGTGTGTGAGAGAGAGAGAGAGAGAGAGAGAGAGAGAGCGCGCGAGAGAGAGATTGAGAGAGAGAGAGAGAGCGGGGGGGGGGGGGGGGGGGGGGTGTCAAATACGATCAATGTCAGTTGTGTGAGATCTGCCGCGTGGAAATTCGAGGTTAGAATAGTCCCACACCAACTTATGTTTATCGTGCGAGGTAAAAACATGTTAACGGAATCGGGTGGTCAGACTCGTGACTTTATAGATTGCGTGTCCTCGTAGGTATACCCCCAAGACGTGAATCGTTGCTCATAATATCAATCACTGGTTTGTCTGGCCCACACTCGAGTATTTATTGACCGTGGTCATATAGCTAAAATATAGTTAAACAACACACAAAAGAAACAAACATGTATGTTTTTCGAGTTATTACGTACAGAACAGAAGCAACAGTAGTCGACAGGGTGAGTACTCTACTCACTCATCACATACCTTCCGAATAAGCCTTGTTCTTCTTATCCGTGAAGATTCGGGGTAGAATAGGTCTTCCGCAACCCATGCTTGCCGTAAAAGGCGACTATGCTTGTCGTAAAAGGCGACAAACTGGATCGGGTGGTCAGGCTCGCTGACTTGGTTGATACATGTCATCGATCCCCAATGCGTGGATTGATGCTCATGATATTAATCACTGGATTGTCTGGTCCAGACCGCCGTCATATTGCTGGAATATTGCTGAGTGCGGCGTTAAACAACAAACCAACCAACCAACCAACCAACCTTGTTCTGTTGATACTGATAATATTTTGATTTCACTTCTTTGTAGTGCCACGTTTCGTAACATTCTCCAGTGAATAAAGGAAAGTTGTTCCTATCCCTTTGACAATACTCGCCGAAACCCCCAGTGGAACCACATGTTTGATTTCCGAAGGTAGTTTTCAAAGGTTGGGTCCCCATGCTCCCGTGGTTTCCCTATTTGGAACCTCGGTCAAAGTTGTGTCAGAGCGTGATGACCTTGTTCTGAGTTATCGTTCATTATGCTGTCAACCACTAAATTGCATTCGAGTATTCGCCCGGACGAATACCGGCTTTGTAGTGCTAGACCACTGAGATACCTTGCCACAGTTTAACAGGGATACCCGACTCGGACACAATATACTGGCTCCGACCAGTCCTTCCTTTATTTATCCTCTTAATGCCAAGCCCTCCTTTAAGTTCCATTTTTTAACGTCTTTTGGTGAAACGCGGCCGGGGATCGAACCGTCGACCTTTCGCTGTCTGGGCTGTTTTCTCATATATTGTTCGGATAAACGAGTTTCCAGATTTCCTGAATCCCTTGTTGACTGACCAAAATTCACTTCGAGGCATATGTGAAATAAATGGCAAAAGTATGATTTATGAAGGATTCACCGATTTATTTATAAAATACTTTGTGCTGCGCAGACCTATGCTGTGACAACGTCCTTTATAATTGAATCAACTGAATAAATGTATGTTTAGTTTGGTTCAGATAATGCACTTGTTTTGTGTACAGTTTTGACGGAGAGGTTAGGGTAACCTGCCACACATAAACATTAATAGCCATTTACATCAATGAGATGAAAGCTAAAGTTGAGTTCATTCATGTGTGAAAAAACTAGTCCAGACATATCTAAAGCACGAATTAGCCTGGTGTGTTTGAAATCCTCTTTATGCAGCGTTTGTGACTGTGCAAATATGACGAGTGGTTCAGGCGGGGATGAAATGGATGTTATAAACAGGGAGCGTGTAAATATGACAAGTGGTTCAGGCTGGGATGAAATAGATGTTATAAACAGGGAGCGTGTAAATATGACGAGTGGTTCAGGCTGGGATGAAATGGATGTTATAAACAGGGAGCGTGTAAATATGACAAGTGGTTCAGGCTGGGATGAAATGGATGTTATAAACAGGGAGCGTGTAAATATGACAAGTGGTTCAGGCTGGGATGAAATAGATGTTATAAACAGGGAGCGTGTAAATATGACGAGTGGTTCAGGCTGGGATGAAATAGATGTTATAAACAGGGAGCGTGTAAATATGACGAGTGGTTCAGGCTGGGATGAAATGGATGTTATAAACAGGGAGCGTGTAAATATGACAAGTGGTTCAGGCTGGGATGAAATAGATGTTATAAACAGGGAGCGTGTAAATATGACGAGTGGTTCAGGCTGGGATGAAATGGATGTTATAAACAGGGAGCGTGTAAATATGACGAGTGGTTCAGGCTGGGATGAAATGGATGTTATAAACAGGGAGCGTGTAAATATGACGAGTGGTTCAGGCGGGAATGAAATGGATGTTATAAACAGGGAGCGTGTAAATATGACGAGTGGTTCAGGCGGGGATGATGAAATCGATGTTATAAACAGGGAGCGTGTAAATATGACGAGTGGTTCAGGCTGGGATGAAATGGATGTTATAAACAGGGAGCGTGTAAATATGACGAGTGGTTCAGGCTGGGATGAAATGGATGTTATAAACAGGGAGCGTGTAAATATGACGAGTGGTTCAGGCTGGGATGAAATGGATGTTATAAACAGGGAGCGTGTAAATATGACAAGTGGTTCAGGCTGGGATGAAATGGATGTTATAAACAGGGAGCGTGTAAATATGACGAGTGGTTCAGGCGGGGATGATGAAATCGATGTTATAAACAGGGAGCGTGTAAATATGACGAGTGGTTCAGGCTGGGATGAAATGGATGTTATAAACAGGGAGCGTGTAAATATGACGAGTGGTTCAGGCTGGGATGAAATGGATGTTATAAACAGGGAGCGTGTAAATATGACGAGTGGTTCAGGCGGGGATGAAATGGATCTTTATTATTCGTGTACCTAATTAACACAGCGATCGCATGACACCCGACCCTTTTGACGTTGTCTGCCGGGATCGAATTGCAAAGCAAACGTGGGGGCGTCCAAGATTACTGCACTTATATAGAGGCGTGCCTGCACGCGCGCGCGTGTGTGTGTGTGTGTGGTTGTGTGTGTGTGTGTGTGGTTGCTTGAACTAGTCCGGACTTAAGCCGATTTTATAGTGCTAGCCAAATGAGATACCATGCCGCAGTTTAACATGAATACCCCTCTCCGAGCCGACCAGTCCTTGTTTCAACCCCTTAGTGCTTAGCTCCAGGCAGGGTAACAGCAAGTACCATCATGGGACACAATAGTGTGCATTTTGTTCGGTTGGTAATGAAATTCTCAGTCCCGTTCTTGTTTCCTTGTATATCTTTGATTGTACCTACTTCGGCTTTGTCAGGTTATTCTGGCTCATGTGACGCACCTGTACTTCGACCACCCGTATGAGCCGGACCCGGAAGAGAGAGGGTACTACTGGGGCCCCCGTTTCACCGACACCTGGAAGACGTTCGGGTACATGCCGGACAACGTGTACGAGAACGTGGACGTCCGGCGCAATGGCGACCCCATGACAAAGGAGGAGCTGTGTGGCCAGGACGGCAGCCTGTGTATTCCACTTACAAAACCGGAAAATGTTCTTGGTGAGTCTTGTAAAATCCAGGGTACGAGGTAGAGCGTTGGTCCTCTCCTCCACTCCATCGGGCCAAAATACTTGATGTGTTAGGTAGTGTTGGTCATCATGGCAAGGTGCATGAGGAATGTTCAAATGTTTGTTTGTTTGTTTGTTTAACGCCGCACGCAGCAATTTTCCTGCTATATGACGGCGGTCTGTAAGTAATCGAATCTGGACCAGACAATCCAGTCATCGATAACATGAGCACCGATCCACGCAATTGGGATATGATGACATGCATCAACCAAGTCAGCGAGCCTGACCAACCGATCCCGTTAGTCGCCTCTTACGACAAGCATAGTCACCTCATACGGCAAGCATGGGTTGCTGAAGACCTATTCTCCACCGAACCTTCCCGGAATGTTCAAATGAAGCATTATTGTTTTAATCGAGCTTTTTCTAAAACTTGAGGTACGTTCAAATATATAATAATACGGCAAACGTTTCAGTACAGATCCCATATCTGGGGAATCTACCTGGTGACCCTTGCTTGTTTTTGCATTCTCGGGAAGTAAAGGTCCGACCATATACTTGTTTTCCCACATGCATGTGTTGAAATATTTATCATGTTAAATCTTTGAATGGCATTTAGTGGGTGAGTATCGTTTTACGCCGCTTTTAGCAATATTCCAGCAATATCACGGCGGGGGACACCAGAAATGGGCTTCACACATTGTACCCATGTCGGGAATCGAACCCGGGTCTTCGGCGTGACGAGCGAACGCTTTAACCACTGGGCTACCCGACCGCCCCGAATGGCATTTAGAAGTGATACACATAAGGAAGAGAATTTATGGATATCAACGTCTTTATTATGAGGAAAGACAACGTTTCGGAGTACATGCTTACTCCTTCATCAACACAAGACATCACGATGTGTTCCTTATAATAAAGAAGTTGGCACTTATAAATTCTCTTCCTTAATTATCATGTTGTTCACCTGAAGGGATGAGATTTTTTTCTGCGCAATACTCGAAAAATATTGTTTACAAATATACTGCATCCCCTAGATGGGAGGCTCTCTTGACAACAGCCAAATTTGAGACAAAAGTGCGAATTAATGCGAGACAACGTGCATTTTTCGCATTGATTTCACTTTTATATTAATTTCAAGATTTACAGTACCTGTTAATTTATTAGGTTAATGTATATAATTGATTTACTTCATTGACCTTCCAGGAATGCAAGGCCATTTATGGAGCGAGACGGTTCGAACACAAGACAACCTGTTCTATATGATATTCCCGAGGATAATTGCCCTAGCGGAAAGGGCGTGGCACAAGGCAGCATGGGAGGACATAATGGAGGCAGAGACGCGAAACAACGAAAAACGAAAAGATTGGATAAATTTTGCAAACTCGTTAGGATACCAGGAGTTACCTGCCCTTGATAAACTAAACATCACTTACCGGGTGCCGCCCCCTGGTGCAAGGTTTGTTTTCAGAGTTCCACTTTTGAGTAGTGAGTGAGTCAGTCAGTTCAAATTTGAAATGTAGCGATATTCTAAATTCACTGTATTAAATGTTTAGCTTAGTAACATATCATGATTCTTCAGTTCAAAGGTAAAACAAAAGTAGATAATTTAAATGAAAAAAACTAAAATACTCAGCAAATGAATGAAACGCAAAAGTAAGAGTGTTGCCGACATCCATACAAAATTAATACCAAAAATGAATTGGTCAGTTCTGCGGGGATTGGGATTGATTTGTATCGAAAGAAAGAGGTACTGCAGAAATATGGTGAAAAGATAGGAACATCGCAAAAATACAACCACGTGAGAGCCTGGCGCATAAACACACCAACCACGACATGGACGTGCAACATCACTTGTTGGGCTATACAAAAACGTTGGCCTTTCATTTGCATGCCATCACAATCTTACAGCAAGTGAACAACGAAACCATGCCACCACTGACGGAAGCCCAACGCAACAAACCCATCGACCGACTGCAAAAAGGAGAGTCATCTTTAGCTGTAGCCAGTTTTTTTCCACGTAGCACCAAGCGCCATTACAAGACTGTGGATCCGGTCGACCATATACCACTACCAGAGCAAAGGACAGATTCATACGGCTACGTGAAAGAACCACCACGGCCACCTCTGCAACTGCGGCAAAACCAGGATTGCGTAGGATATCAGCCCAAGCATTGAGAAACCGTTTATGCGCTGAAGGTATTCGCGAGAGACGACCAGTTCAAGGTATCATTTTGACGGACCTGCATCGCTGGCTGTAACGTCAGTGGTGTCAAGGTCACCGAGTATGGAGTTTGGCTTAGTGACGAGTCACGTTTCATGCTTCGCAGTGCGGATGGGAGACGACGTGTTTATTCACCACTATATATAAAACACGGCACACGTAAGGAAAATGTTCCCTCCCTAATCCATGGGGCATTTGTCACACAATGTGGTGACCATATCTATCTCCAAGGTTCAGAACAATCGAAATACAATCGAGCATACGCTCTCTACGAAGATTGCAAAGAGCATTAAACGATTCTTTCTCAACAGTTGCTTGATCAGGGTTACAGCCTTCAAGAAATTAAGGTTTTACAACGTGGTAGGGTTCTATTCTGGCTTATACCTATACCTTATTTGTTCACGTGATCAGCTGTCTTGCCTTGACATGTGTTTGTAACGGTTGCCTTTGGTAGGAGAGGACACGCTCACCAATTCTCGAACACCTGGTATCAGTATAAACACATGCTCATGATATAATTGGAATCGTCAATGGATTATTTATGATTTTGCAGGGGTGATGGGGTAGACTAGTGGATAAAGCGTTCGCTCGTCACGCTGAAAGCCGGGTTCAATTCCCGTCATGGGTACAACGTGTGAAGCCCATTCCTGGTGTCCCCCGCCGTGATATTGCTGGAATATTGCTAAAAAGCGGCGTAAAAGCTACTCACTCACTCAATATGATTACGCAAAGGGTTATGCCGCTCCCAATATCTACCGGAGTTTTATCACAATAAGTATAATTGTCCTTATTCTAAATCACTGGCTAAACTTGCCAACATTGGTCAGCAGCTAGAGTACTGTAAGTCCCCATGGCCCCTTGTATGCTGACGATCTGTAAAGGTCAATTCTTATGTTTTCAGAAATAATAATGGTCGACTAAATCTTAAGTCGCCATTCCCTGGCCTAGGTTTGGAAACAAGCACCGACGGCGGAAACAGCTGGCAGACGGCATCAGCGGAAATGACGGTTGCCCAGGGGCAAACAGTCCTCGTATCGCTCAAGTACGTAAATAAATGTGACAGATTGACCCATCACGAATGTTTGTAACAACTTCCTAGAATGAGTGTCTGAGTTGGGTAATATTTCCGCCATACCAATGGGAGTTTAGGTATGTTTCACTAAAACCTTTTATATAAATTCTACGAAAACCCATTAGGACCATATTGGTATTTTGGTTTTTTTCTCTTTTAAAAGTCGTAATTACGCGGAAAAAGTCGTAATTACAACTTTTATAAAATCATAATTACGAGAAAATATTCGTAATAACGACTTTTAAAAACTGGTTATAACCATAATAAAGTCGTAATTACGAGAAAAGGTCTTTACAAAACTCGTAATTACGAGAAAAAATAGTTTTAAAAAGATTCTATTTATTGCTTTGTCATTATATCACGGGGATTTTCATCATCATTTGTAAAAGTCGTAATTACGATTATTCTCGTAATTACGAGTTTTGACTCACAAAGTTCACTCACAAATTCACACGTGAAAAATAAAACCATGTGGCTACATATTCCTTTCGATGCGACCTAGGCTAAAGGAAATGAACAATGGTAAACGTATTTTGACATAACTATTTTATTTTTTATCTCTTTTTAAGTCCATGTCACAGTAACGGGGAACCGTTCACAGAATAAGCCTCTATTACGTTATTTCTTTATACAAAATAATTTAAAAAGCAATGGTCTTGTGGTGTTTATGGGGAAAAGGGACATAAACATCGCATCCATGCAGCATTTACCCAGACGAATGTATACAAGTTTGTACAGGGTTTAGTGCATGAGAATCACATCGATGGCTCTCAAAAAGACAATGATACAGCATACATTGTGAATAAAACTTGTTACATTTTTAAATATTGAAATGAGTGCATTTATAAATTCAATATTTGGCAATTAATATTTATAGTGTAATCAGTATTTTTACAACCATATAATATAAACTCTGGGTCATGTATATATATATATATATATATATATATATATATATATATATATATAGTACTTTAGACATAGTACTTTCGCTGTCTCATGACAGCTCTTCAGTCATGAAGTCACGTAGAGCTGTCATGAGACAGCGAAAGTACTATGTCTGAAACTGATATAAAGAAGATGATGGACTAACGTGGACATTATCATTTTATTATGATCATCAATTAGGGATTTCAACAATATTTTTACTTTTTCACATTCACAGAACAAATGTACAATAGAATTCGGTTTCTAACATGCAAACAGTACATAGATCATTTGATGGCATTTTAATTTAGCAAATAAATGAGTTGGTTCTAATAATTGTATGAATAATTCTGTTCGTAAACCATTTCAGCTTTGTACGATCTCAAGTTACAGCTGTTATTAAATGTGTGTGTGTATTGCTTGTTTCCAGGTCGGCAGATGGGAGAAGACGTGGGCGGGCGGTTACTGTCAGGGTACCCGTTAGTAATACCGTGACGGATTCAGGCGCACACAGCACAATAAAAGCCACAACAGTATCATTGTTCATGTGTATACTTCAGTTGATGTACAGATATTTGGAAATACGTGTCTCAAAATAATATGATTATTGGTTTTGGGTGTCTAACATATTGAAATAACCTTCCAGTGATAGGACAATCTCTTATAGTTAAAATAAGTGTAATATTGCATTTGGTTGGGCTCTTTTAATATTAGCAATAAGAAGGGACCAAACTATGTTTATAAAGTCGAATTCTTTCTGACACTGTAAAAAGTGATATTTTAAGGTATTGCATTTAACCATATATATATATATTGACCGAACCAATGCAAAAGAGACACAAAATTACTCTTTTTTTAACCAACATGTCTCAAACGGCTTGTTTGTGTGCAACTAGTAAAAACTTACAAGTCATCTTCCTTATGGCACAAATGCCGGTATACGTCGACTACTTTGTTGGTTGGTTAGTTGGTTTGCTTGTTGGTTGGTTGGTTTGTTGTTTAACGCCGCACTCAGCAATATTCCAGCTATATGACGGCGATCTGTAAATAAACGAGCCTGGACCAGAAAATCCAGTGATTAATACCATGAGCATCGATCCCCGCAATGGGAATCGATGACATTGCATCAACCAAGTCAGCGAGCCTGTCAACCCGATCCCGTTCGTCGCTTCTTACGACAAGCATAGTGGCCTTTTACGGCAAGCATGGACTGACTACTTTGTAATAAGGCAGCATCGAATGTGTTTCTCTTGCACAACTATGTATGTAAGCTTTCGGGATTTTTTCTCACATTTGTATTAAATACTTCGGTACTTCAGTGTGTGTTGTCTTTTTGTACACCTTGGTTGTAAACTCAGAGTTGAATGATTTCAATGTGTATGTTGAGATCGTGTGTCGAATCCTGTCATGCCTGCCGCGTCAAACAACATTTAATCATGAATGGTACGTCACGCCCGACCCAGCTCTGTCTAACCACGTAATAGGTCACAATTATTATTGCACTCAGCAATATTCCTGCTATATGAATTAGAGGCCGCCACGGCGGATTTGAACCTATTAAACAAATACAGATTACATCACTGGTTGGAGAATTTAGGAAAAGGGTCAAACTGCAAAGGTCAAACAAATCAATCACGTTTAATATTCGGCAAAACATGTGTTTGACTCCAGTACTGCCTACACGAGGAACAAAATTCAGGACACTTAGTAACAAAATGATTTTTCAGCCACGGAATATAACATCTGGAAAACATTCATTGGTGTGAACAAGTATGTGAAGTTTAAATTAATTGGTCCAGTGTTTTCTGAGATGTTTATGACGCACGACCGGCGACGGACGACGGACTACAAACAGGCCATGACGCTATTATTTCAGTCAGTAAAAGTGAGTGGCCGATCTCGCTAAATCAAACCAGCATCGGTGAATATAATGACATCATAACATCACATTGATGAATAATCAACGAAGCATATTGAAAAACAGTTTTAGGCCTGAAACCACAAAAGGCAATACAATTTGCAAATAAGAAAGCGAGATAACATTTTACATCGCATCTGCAATATTGCAGCCGTATAGCTATGCTGCAATAATAATAAATACACTTAGAATATATATATAATAGGGTCGACAAAGAGCAGTAAAACAACAAGATTATCAGTTTTGTAGTAAAAACTTATATGAAAACAGAACAAGATATCAATGCACTTAACAATACAATATTACAACTGGATACAGATTACCAGCGACCAAGTTAGACACCTTACTAGCGGAACTTACGATGCCTCTGATACCTGCATAGTACCCCCATACGGATTTATACCATCCATCCAGCAATGATAGATATAAATATTCTTTGAATGACATGGTGTATACACTACCCTATCAGGGGAACAATAAATGTTCACCACTTTTACCCTAATCTCGGGTGCTGCCATTAACAAACTTAGTAAATAAATATACACTACCAATCCATAAAAAAATCAAACTTTATATGCAAGTTCAAAATGTATCGAGGAAACATATTTCACAAAAGGTGAACTATTAAATGAGGATTAACTTCATTAAATAGGATCTTTAAAAATGAAATGAAATACTTTCCATAAATATTCATCTGTATATAAGTGGAAGCAGGAATAAGAAGCAAGCCCTATAAAGAAATATCCCTGATTAGGTCACTGTCGAATGTCTTAAAAGCGGGACTGGCTGTGTTGTTGGCTCCGTAATAGTGTTTGAAGCTGTCAGGAATCCGGAGTTTTTGTAATAGATATAAGGTCAGCACTGGGGAAGTAGATCGCCCACGACTCACTGTTATATATGAATAGGCAGCCTTCTAGACGCTGTCACATCACTTAACGTCGCGAGCGATAAAGTTTGTCCTGTTTGTTTATAGCCACTAAAGGTAACTATCACAATATTTATCACAACTTTTTCACACTCCCGGCGCATAACGACCACCACAACACTCAATTCGCGGTCACTGACCATTAACACAAGTAACGTACAATATCTTCTAATACATAAGTGTTTATACTGTCATGATATGTCAAACTTAAGCATCCCCAATCTGCCCGTTTAAGAGAGTCAAACATGCATTTTGATAGAAATATATACTATGTCAAATTAAAAACTTCATATTTTTAAAAGTAATCCCATATATGATTTACAACGGACAAATGTATCAGAGAAGGTAATTTTTAATCATTAATGTCCAAAGAAGGATTTTAATCAACGGTGGTAACCATAATTTGTTCCAAGCACCTACGGTATTCGGTAATAACATCAACAGTTTAAATCATAAGTCCCAAGCACGAGAATCTGATGGCACACAGTAGCGTGTATGGCCACCATGTGCGTTGACAACTGCCACACAACGCCTCCGCATGGACCTTGTGATGCTTGGGAACACATGATTGGGAAGACGACGCCATTGTTGCTGCAAAATGGTGCCAAGATCTTGCAAATTCTGTGGTTGGAGAGTGCGCAGACTTCTGCCAAGACCTTCCCAGACGTGTTCGATGGGATTGACGTCGGGAGACCTTGACGGCCAGTCCATGACGTTGACTCCCGCATTCTGAAGGAAATTCCTTGTCAAAATTGCTGTGTGGGGTCTGGCATTGTCGTGTTGGAAGATCAAATCGGGTCCATGTGCTGCCATAAAAGGCAGAAGTTCTGGTGCCAGTACCTGGTCGCGGTAAGCAGCAGCGTTGAGGTTGCCACGGATGACAAAAAGCCTGGAACGTGCGTTGCCATAGAAAGCATCCCACACCATGACACTTCCGCCTCGAAATCTGTCAACTTCCTGTACAAAACACTTACTAACTTCATGACGGCGCCTCCACACCCTCGCCCTACCATCAGCAAATCGAAGATTAAATCGGGATTCATCACTGAAGACGACTTGATTACAATTCCTCTGAGTCCATCGTAAGTGTCGCTGTGACAATTGACGTTGACTTCCGAGTCATTGAGTCAGAATCGGTCCGCAATATGGCCGTCGTGCTTGAAGGTGAGCAGTTCTCAGACGGTTTCGAACAGTTTGAGCACTCAGACTACCCCTAAACAGTTCATTTCTTGTTGATGTAGCCGTCCAAAATAGGTTACGGAGGTGACGTAAGACAATTTGATACTCTGCATGTGACGTCACACGTGGTCGACCTAGCAGAGGGCTATCAGCGGTGGTACCAGTTTTCTGTAGACGCGTCTGTAAATCATAAACAGTCCGTCGACTATAGCTTAAACCCATCGTCCTTGCGACTTCAGCTACGGACGTTCCCGTCTGCAACATGCCGATGGCACATTCACGTTGCACATTTGAAAGGCGTGGCATAAAAATGTCCGTAAAGACTTGTGTTTTCTTGTGTTTTTCTTTTTTTTTGGTAATGACTGCTAACAAGTATGGCTGAAAACACGTGCGGTATTATGGCCACGTCACCAGTTGTACGTGAAAAACCACTTTTGACACTAGAGTGCTGTTCACATGATTTTGATCGATTCACCTGCACAAAAACGGGAGTTATCTGAAGACAATGCGTGGCCATTACTGTTTAAATACACGATAAGGGCCCACAAAAACTGGTCAAAATGTTAAAATTTTAGGATTGTGAAGTTTTAAATTTGGTTCAGTATATAACATCACGGAATATGTAAGTTTGTTTGTATGTTGTTTAACGCCGCACTCGGCAATATTCCAGCTATATGACGGCGGTCTGTAAATAAATCGTGTCTGAACCAGAAAATCCATTGATTGCCATCATGAATATCGTTCCACCCAATATTGGAATACGAAGACATGCATCAACTAAGTCAGCGAGCCTGACCCCCCGATCCTGTTAGTCGCCTCTTGCGACAAGCACAGGTTGCTGAAGGCCTATTCTGCCCCGGATCTTCACGGGTCCCAACTGGGAGCTTATAATCATCCACTATATGGATTATATTGAAGATGTCAGCAACAAGGCAGAAGACAGGGCCAAGGCCAGAGGAAGACTCTCTCAGCTAAGACAGTTTAAACTTATTTGGTATCTCTACTTCCTGAAGGATGTCCTCAACGAGGTGTCAAAGATGAGCCTGCTATTTCAACGGGATGATATCAATGTCAGCAGTGCTGTGACCAAGCTGCAATGTGCCCAGACAGCCCTCTAGGCAATGATGACCTCAGCTTCAGGAATTCTCTCATGATGTTGTTTATGGAGTCTATAAAGGCACCGCATTGGACAATGTTGTGGATATCAAAATCCTGAAGACACAGAATCGACAGATTCTTCAGAAGGTGATTGACTGCATAGATCAGAGGTTCTCCAATGCCCTTGCTGATTTCACTGCCTTTGCTGCCTGCCACATCTTCGATCACAAAAATTGGCCATCACCTAACAATGGAAATGGAACGGTAATCATAAACATCATAAAATAATATTTGTGATACATGTCATGCAGTATGTTTTATAATCAAACTAAATCAACAATCATTAATATGTCACAATCACAGTATTTTTATATATTAGTTAATGGCAAAAACCTTAAATCTTTTGGGTTCTTTTGATGTATAAAATGATCATTATATTCATAAGAAAAAGGAAAGAATATATTTTAACTTTTTGGGGCTTTCAGATATATTAATTAAAATGGAATAATTTTAAATTCAAATATCTCTAAATATATGCATATTTCTTTCTTTAGCTCTTTATCAATATAGAAATGAAGACTTGAGACAGATCCTACACCACTTCTCTCAGTTGCTCCATGCCTGTGGATGTGACATAGTGTCTGCCCAGGTGGAGTGGTCGGAGCTGGAGCTGTATCTGGCCAGGAACCCCACTTCCAGACTGTTCATCCTCCAGCTGTGGCAAAGTGTCAGTCAGGAAGATGCCAACAGACATGACTATTTGAACATCATGAAGTAATTCACCTATCCAGCCTGTATCCACTGTCATTGTCAGTTACACTGAAGAGCTGTCATGAGACAGCGATAGTACTATGTCTGAAACTGATAAAAAGAAGATGATGGACTAACGTGGACTTTATTATTTTATATGAGAGAGAGAGAGAGAGAGAGAGAGAGAGAGAGAGAGAGTATCACACCCC